ACGCCGGCCATAAATTTTATTATTTTTACTTAATTAAAATATTTAACTTTAATGCAATATCCATAATCGAAGTTATCCAAAATGAGTTTAGTTTTCGGACATTTTATTTGTTTACTAGACCAATTTTAGCTAAATCTTCTGCATCCATACCGTAAAATTTCGTTCTCTTCATAAAGTCTGAATAATGAGCAAATTCTGTAATCATCGATTGTATTTGTTTTAATAAGGTAGGATCGAATGGACATAACTTAAAATGAAACATTCTGGCAAAATTCGGTTTAATAACAGTTATCCCTTCCGTACCACTAAAGTCTGCCATCAGTTGAATAACTTCATTAATATCAGCGAGTCTTGTTTCTTTCTCGTCGTTGCAACTCAACAAATCGTTTTCGAAATGTTTCAAAGCTTTGATAACTCGAAGTAATCTTTTCCAGCTTTCAAGGTGCTCCACAGTCTCTCTTTTAATTATATTTCTGTTGGCGAAATGATCCTGTTTCTGAAAAATCGAGAGAAAACCGATTTTGAAATTATTTCTTGTAATAGAAGAAATTATAGAATGTGTAGGGTGATTCACTTGAGATTGAACATTAGCTGTGTGAATTATCCCGGTGTAAAATAAAAATATGAGCACTAAACACGACGAAACGAACTTTATTTCATGAGAATACAGTTGACTAATGCACGTGTTTCATTACATGTTATTTACGTATTACTATGCGTACCAATCATGAGGTTTTGAATACAGTAAGTGTTCAATCCGGAGTGAATAACTCTCTACTATGACGTTGTAGGTGTATAACTAACACGTAAGAAGGAGGACATTGCTACATCACCTACATGTCGTCTAATACTTAGTACATTTATTCGGCGTTCAACACACGCTAAAAGGATATTTCTATATACTTAATATTTTTAATAGTTTGTGTATGTATTGTAATTGAAAAAAAATAATTTGTGTTATAATNGAAGAAATTCTGGTTTAATTGGATTGGATTAATTTGATAAAATAAGGCAAAGCAACTGTTGGGCGATCTGCTAAAAGTGGGGTACCTCCCGGAAAGACTTACTACCGTTGGAACCTATTTGAGTTTTAGCCAAGTGAAAAATTTTAGAAAATTTCACGTAGTCAGACCTCTTCACAAAATTTCACCAGTTATTGGCGTTCAGTGGTTTTAGCTAGTTGTGGTTTTTTTTTTTCAGATACACTGTAGAACCTCGATTATCCAAACTAATTTGGAATGAAGGTAGTCCGGATAAGGAAAAATCCGGATAATCGAAACAAATACTTTAATTTGTCTTTTAATGATAATACAACACGTTTTCTTTTCGATGACATATCAGTAATATTAAAAGTAAATACTGTATTTAAATCGTGATCAAATTTTCAAGAAACAAATGTT